ATTCTGACTCCGCAGCCTATTAAGACACAAATGCAACAAACCTTTTACTTCTAAAAAACTGTGTAAAAAGGTAGTGGTAGAGAGGCAACACCCTACCTTTCGATCCACCTTTTCCTCAGTCGGGTTGACAGCAGTCTCCAGCTGCTGGCCCCACGTTTGAATGATTTCATGGCTGGGCGTTTGACTAACCTGCTCTTTGAACGCAGCCAGCAGCTTGTCCACTGCACTCACAAATAACGTGTGCATGGTGTTGACCACAAAATAGTCAAGAAGTCGGATGAAGCTGTGTGGGTGCAAGATGCGGGAGGGAGGGATTGAGTTTGTGCGAGACATTTAATGGAAACAAAAACGAAACAAGGAACCCTACCAGTTGAGGCGCTGACAGAAGAAGCCCTTGTTAATACCCAATAGAACTTGGATTTCACTCAGCTTGTCGCTATCTGTCACAAACAGATAAATGGCTAAAAAAAACCCATCTCTCTCTAAATCTGGGCAAAAAAATCTTAGGACAATAAAAAATGCACACACGATCTGACAGGAAGGTGCTACAGGAACACAGTGTCACTTCCTTTACCAGGTCTTGGAAGTTTTGCAGGTCAATCAGTGCCTAATTAAAGCAAACCATTAAGTATCTGTCACAAACAGATAAATGGCTAAAAAAAACCCATCTCTCTCTAAATCTGGGCAAAAAAAATCTTAGGACAATAAAAATGCACACACGATCTGACAGGAAGGTGCTACAGGAACACAGTGTCACTTCCTTTACCAGGTCTTGGAAGTTTTGCAGGTCAATCAGTGCCTAATTAAAGCAAACCATTAAGATAGAAGATTGTGTGTGGGGGGGGGGGGAACAAACACAAATCATATCGGTCACTTAAAAACACACTAAACTCGTGTGTTCACGAATAAACAACGGTACCTCTTCTACTTGTGTGAACTGAGCTTCATGAAATTCCTGGAGAGTATATGTGTGCTTTTTCTCAATATGACACAAGTTTGTGGTTCTGATTTGGTAACACATTTTCCAGACGTCTGACAGTGCCGTGCTTAGATCCTAAAGAGACAGGGGACAAGGTTTAATGATATTAGAGTATATAAAACTTTCGGCACATTTTCAAGCACCTTTGCATCGAGTGACGAGAAAAAGTAAGTAAACCTGTAGAATTTGATGGATTTCTGAATAGATTTACCAAATACTGTGAGCTGATCATCAGTGTGTGTGTATATTATATTTTATATATATATATAGTTATTTATATAGCGCTTTTCCAACAGCTGCAGCTGCAACAAAGCACTTTCCAGAACACATGAGATAAAGCATTGACAATTATACCAGGATATCAAACCAACAAAATGAAGATATAAATGATATAAGAATGTCTGTATTATTTTTGACATATTACGTCTCGTTAGCCATGACGTTCATGAAGATCAGATCACGATGACAAATGTATTCAAAATAATCCATTAAATTCCAAGAGGAAGTCATTCTTTTTCTTGCCGCTGTATTTTTAAAGAACAAGGCAGAACAGAGAGATTTTCTCTACTTACCGGGTTGATCATGAACAAATTCTCTTTGAGAGCCATTTGAGCCACGTGCATCTTCTTGGCACAGACTTTTTTATGCCAGATATAGAAAGGTTTGAATAATTTGAAGCGAGCAAAGAAGGGGATGAGAACCAGCTTGCGGTGGAGTTGATATTCCTCCTCAAACCGCTCAAGGCTGACAAAGTCGAAGTTTTCTCGACAAGTCGACAATACGCCGTCTTTGCTAACCATCGTGTAGTCATCCTTGCTGTGCTCAAAAATTCGGACTTCAGAGGGGGTTTCCAAGTTTGCATCTTTCTTAAGGGAAAAGGGTCTTTTTGCAGGACAAGAGGTTGACGCTCCATTTAGGGAGAATTGATCCTACAAGAGCGAAGAGAACAAATACACTTCCATCCATTATTATTGGCACCTCCAGTTAAGATGCCTTATTTAGCTTCTAATAAATGCTGCCTTTTTTCTCAATAATATAGGCTCAACATTTTAAAAAAGGAGGAAAATCCAACCTTTTATTCAAGTGCATTTATTAATTGGGGAAAAAAAACAACACTGCTGTACGCTACTGTAAAAACTGACATTTCTTATGGGCCTTGATATGGAATTTGTCCATGGTAGTCACGTTACAGCTGTGACAGCCAGGAATTGCCCAATTTTGGGAAAGGCGTGTGAAGTTTATGACTCAATCCTCCTTTCTGCCACCTTGTTGTGTTGAAATCAAACCAAGTATTTTCTCACACAATTAATCGGATGAAAGCTCACAAACTGTGCAGTTGCAGCATCATCCCTAGAGTCAGTGGAAAAGGCCAAGATGGTCACATGCCAAATCTACTCCTCCTACTGCAATTTTGAGGGATCTTTGTCACAGTGATTGTTTGTCATATTCTACCTCACACTCACTGACCTTGGTGCGGCATTGCAGTGGAGGCAGTTTGACATGCGATGGCACGCTGCGCTTCTGCTGTGGCTCTTTTTCTTGGGCTAAAGGCACCTGAGAATGCCAGCCTGGGAAATACCTCCTTTCCTGGGATTTTACGTGCTCCTCAATTGGCAATTTCCGTTTCACACGTCTCTTCAGCAAAGCCTACATTATGGGGCAAAAAAAATTGACATCAGCAAACAATAATTTGTATAACAACAGTAAAGACGGGCCCAGAATCAAAATTACATTAATTCATCAATTCTCTGCTGATCCTATAAGGTCACAGGTGAGCTGGAGCCTATCCTAGATGACTTTGGGCGAGAGGCGGCGTACCCCCTGAACTGGTTGCCAAGCCACCACAGTGCAGAAACAGACAAAACAACCGTTCACACTCATATTCATACCTATGGACAATTTAGTGTCTTCAATTAATCTTCAAGTATGTTTTTAGAAAGTTGAAGGAAGAGAAGTACCTGGAGAAAACCCACACAAGCACGCGGAGAACATGCAAAGTACCAACAGGAAGGCCAGAGCCTCGATTTGAACACACACTCTGGGAGGCAGACATGCTAACCACCGGGGCAGCATGCCTCCAAGTTACAACCATTGAAATTAATTTAATGGAATAAATGCTCACTGGAAATGATGATATAGTTTCACTTGACTCATGATATCGTTTCCTCATACCTGTGTGCCTTTCTCATGAAGTGGAGGTAACATGGTGGGGCTTTGCTGCTGTGGGACCTCGAGCTCTGAAATAAAATGTCAAGTGGGCATGAGATAAATTATGGATGCGTAGTGTCAAAATCAGGAATACTGAAATCCCACTTGTGGGTAATGCTATCACTCACAATCAAGATACGCAACATGACTATAAAAGTACAGTTAAAAAACACTTGCATTCTCATTAAGTACACATACAGTATTTGCAATATGAGTATGCTGCTGTATTTTAAAAAATGCTATACATAATGAACAGCAATGTTAGTGTTGCGTTTATTAAGCAACGTATTTGATTATTATGTACATTTTACATTGAGGGTATGATAACCCGAAACCCCAAAATAACCATGAAGCATTCGGTACATGTTGTCAAATTGTTACCCATGCAATCATCCTCTCCGCTATGTCCAGACGAGGGACTTTTAGATGTCGATGCCATTTTAGGTCAAAAGTCCTCACGCAATGTGCGATTGGTTGCCGGACAGCATGAACAGAAGTCACACAACTCTTTGTTTTCAACTCATAATTAATCCAATCCGTCGCAAATTTCGCACAGTATCAAAATCGGCATTCATGGCCACTAATGTGTGTGATTGCGCATACGTCAGAGGAGCACATATCACTGACATCAGCCATGAAATGTTACACGCGCGGATAACGCACCAATGAGCTAAACAAAAGACAGTTACGCGGACGTTGGCGAGTGGAAGCCTCTGACGACTGTTGCCAAATTTAGCTTTCCATTGCGTAGTCAATTCAAAAGCGACGGGTGTTTACATTTTATTTTTTGCACAAGTCCTGTAAGGAGTTCATGCCTGCATGTTAAGACTCGCAACTTGCAATATCCCAAATGTTTTTTTGAATATAGATTTCAGATTAGATGAATCCAGAGTGAATCTGTCTCATATTTTATGTATCTTTTCTCAGCGTGTACAGTATTGTAGATGCAATGTATTCAATCGCAAACCGTAAATCAGTTCGTCAATATACAATACTGAAACGTTTTCATTTTCTTTTTCTTTTCTTTTGATAAAATGCTTCAGAAGATGAAACCACAGATATTACGACCATGGTCATGTATAACTGGATCAGGATTAACAGCACTTCCTTGAATATAAGTGCATAAATTGTTATGAGAACACACTTAATAAATTCCTAAATCAGACGCTTCGGCAAGATAACATCTCCATCGCCAAAAAAAAAATACAAAAATAAAACTATTTTGCGGGGGAAGTAAAGCTTTTGGCAATGATCGCATGTTCGTTTTTTGCTTATTCAATTAATAAAAACTTAAAATCAGTGTTCAGCAACGATTTATACATTTTACTATGAACGCCAAACAAGTTACATTTAAATCACAATGTTATTGAGAACACTCCTTTCTCGGGGCATTACGTAAGTCATCATAGTGTTAAGACAAGCATACCGTTGCGTTTCAGGATGAGTCTATAAAACCGTCAAGTATCGCGTCAGCATTACGCCAGCAGCTCACGTTTACAGTCTCCTAGCAACGTAAGGTTTTCCCAACAAGCACTGCAGACAACCCGCCGTATAAAGGCCTCAGTAAATAACAGTATGAGCAGGAGCCCCTCTCTAGTCCTCAACCACTTGTACCTTTTAAAAGAAGTTTGGCCAACTGCATAAATGACAAAATTACACTACCTCCCTGTACTTCATCAGTTATGGAACGTGTGTACTGTCCTAAAAAAAAAAAAAAAAAGACAATGACAACTCCAGTAAAAGTATTGTTTCATATTAAATCCATAAAAAAGAGAATAAGAAAAAAAAGTCCAAATTCTGAAATATCCCAACATCCGGAAGTAAATATACATTTTTATTGTCGATTGTATACAATACCAGAAAACAACACAAAATAAACAATGCTGAATTAGCTGATAAATTTGCTTCAGTACACATACACTGGGCCCCACAAATAAGGACAGGGAATAAGAAAAATCTGTGACAGCCACTGAAATGTTTTCGGTCATCTTGGCCAAAAAAATCTTCTCGGAATTTGATTAAATCAATCAATAAATAAAAACTAATGTCACCCATTCTAAAAGGGAAACTGATAATTCTAAAATGAGGGTGTCAGTGGCATCATGAATATGTTCATTTTGTCAATTGTTCAATTGGAACATTTCTGAAAAAAACAAAACAAAAAAAAACATCAGTATAAAACATGGAAATACTGTGGATAAAAGTTGCACATGAAGTGAAATAAAAGACCAACAATGGCAACGACACAACATTTGATACACATAAACCAGTGCAAATCGTTTTTCCATTCAAATGACACAAATGACTGTATATAAAATAGATTTGCATAAAAACAAACTATTAAACAGATATACAATTGTAAAGAACACATCACACGATCTCAATGCCATTGAGACAATACATCCTGTGAAGTGTTCCATATTAAAAGCTTGAATGCCCCAAAATACCAAATATTTACACTATGTATACCGGGAGGACAATCTTCATTCAAAACCACATTAATTAAAAACTGATGTCTGTTATGTTCTCAATCATCCATTGACATACACATGTTGATGTTTTGGCAATACATACTGTATAAATTATTTGTGTAATTTTAGGATCTGGAGAGGAAACACATTTTTACTTCGGGTCCAATAAATCCATGGAAAGTGCCGTTACTCATGCTTTGGCTCAAGAAAGTACGTTTTTCTTTGCTTGGAAGCCATAACTGTAATCTGTTAGGGGGAACAGATCAAAAACATTACTATTTGCACAAACTCACAATTTTTTAACATTTAAAATTGTTCTCTGACATGCTGCTGGAAACAAAAACAAGGACACATATGTCGGTCACAATTGATTCGTACCTGCACAACCACAGTACTCAAGATGTAGTGAGGGTAAGGTTGCAGTATCACACTGTCACCATGACGACTATGTGCTTAACATGAGTTGTATAAAGGGACGGAGCGAAATGGCGGATCGGGGTGGCAATGGCCACCTCTCGTCACTCTGCCCCATAAACCCCCAACCGCACACCTCGGGGGGGGTGAAAGTTTGAGAACTGATTTTTCTGCCATTTTCACATCAATGCCGTATTCTTTAATATTAACTCCATATTCATTGTATAAATGTGCAATTGAACAGAATGTAAATTCTAAAACAATCAGTCGCAAGTTAAGGACATTGATTTCTTACAGTCCACATCAATCAAAATCATTATTTTCACACCACAGCAAGCAAACATGGCTGAGAAGTAATTGTTTATCTTTCCATCCACAGTCAAGGTTTCACGAAACAAAATGTACACATTTGCACACACACTTACAATACAAACAAGAACAAACCAAAGTAAACAACAAGATTTAGAATTGTGAAGAATTAAGAGATTTTTGTGTTGTGCTTTTTAGATGTGATTTGAATGAATGAGCCTTGAAGTCGGCGATGAGACAGTACAGATTCAAAGCAACGGCAAATAAAATGCCATTTCCTAGTAAATGAAGCTCAGCAAAACACGTCTTTTCATTTTGGCTTCTTCCCGCTTGATTATGTGCATTGTTATAGATTTGTGTGAATTTTATTTCATGAAACCCTGATCTGATGGTGTTATAAAGAATGACGCACACACGCGTGCAAGGCGACCCCTGACTGAAGTGTTGTGCCACCCTGGCCTCCGCACTAAAAAAAAAAATACGGCTTCGCCCCTGGTTGTACCTGTTGTGAAGCAGTTGTTGCACGTTGCTCGACATCATTCAGTCGTCTTTGGAGGCGACTGGCTTTCTCTTGAGACTCTGCTAACTGCCTCTTATACTGCACAAACACAACATAAAGACTTCAATTACACTGAGACGATCATGGTATCATTACAGTGACAACATTTTCAAAAACCGTGCACTAAAATTAACTTCTCTTGTTGTGCAAGTGTAGCCACAGTGCATCTGGAAAGTATGCACAGCGTTTCACTTTTTCCACATTTTATGGTAGAGCAGGGCTGTCAAACCTCGGTGCTCAAAGGCCGCTGTCCGGTGTTTAAAGGATAGCCTACAATATGCGATACTCTTGACACCAAAAATGAACATAATTTGTTTGTTTTACACACCTCTTCAATCATTTTGAGGTTGTTTCCGAGCTGATGCTCTAACTCATGTGACCGCTGCTTGTGTTGATTTAGCTCGGCCCTGAAAGACAAAAGAAGCCGTCAAGACACCTCACAGAACTGCATCGATAACGGGACCTGTGGATTTAAGTGACAGATCTCTCTTTCGCTCTCTTCCCTTCTGTAGTTTTAACTAGGGCTTCACGATTTTGGAAAAACGTGATATGCAACATGAGTGCTGAATATTGTAATATCAATATTATTGCAATATTTAACTTAATGTACCGACAATGAATTTTTTATTATCTCATTAAAAAATTTTTTTGGGGGAATGCAGCAATTTGTTTTTTTTTAATGTATATATTATTTATTATTTGTTATTTAGTGTTATAAATACCCCTATATACTGTTCTCATATTTAATTATAATAAAAAAATAATACACTCAATCTGAAAGCATCTTTCACTTTCGAGACCCTCCAAAACACTGTGTAAATCACAATCAAACACTTAAAACTGAATTATACAGAAGTAAGAAAATTAGATTAAAAATAAGAAGAACAAAAAGAAAAACAAAATGACGAAGTGCCATCACAGATGGTGATGCGCATTATGGCTGAATCTGATTAGTCAAAGTCAGTAAAAAGCATAGTATTCAGTTATTGCATGCCACAATTGTGCTATGTTTTTCCGATATATTGAGCAGCACTTGTTTAGACTACGGTAATGCATCTTAGTCGTCACGCGTCCATTCAAGAGTTTGTGATCAAAGCGACTGGCAGTGGAGAAGCTGTACTACGGTCCTTAAAATATTTCTTTTATTCAATCGGTCAGTTCATTGGTTCTTACTTCATATTTTTCATTTTAATTTCAAAGGCTTGGGCCATGTTCTTTCCCTCGTCTTTCCAACGCTGAATACTTTTGTTCTGCGCAGTGAGAAGGCGCATCAGATCAGCACTTGAGTTGCGGCTGCTCTCCTCCAGGTCACTCATCTGTGCACTAAGAGTCTTCTCTTTGAGGCTGTACTCATGTTCCATCTGTGACACCTGGAAAAAGACAGCACAGTAAAGAGTTTTGGCACAAAATGTTATTATTCCCTTCAATTCAAGGGCAAACTTTCGTCTTTCAGCCCAGGAGTGCCACCATTGCAAACCCACGCAGCTTTTCCAGCCTGCAATAGCGCACAATACTTTTTCTTGTCATCCAATGCAATCCCTCTCTGAGCTACTCCCGGCACACGCGCAGTATATATATACACATATCCACACGCGCGCATGTACGCACACGCATGCTGCATGATGATGAGTAACAGCCATAACTTACCCTAACATGAACGAAACAGTAAATAATAAAACGGGGATGAGAAGGTCAATCTCTGAGTTTGAAAAAAAGGAAATTAATTCATGTCTACTATAGAGGGAGACGGAGGCAGACAAGCACTTCTGTCGCATGCAAAATCATCCCTATCGTAGCTTGCGTGTTCCACTTTAAAATGTCGCTCCACATTACTTTTCTTTGCCAATGTGTTTGTCGTACTGCAGATCAAACGAGCAAGCTTTGAATGACAATAAACAAAAAATATATATTTTAACAACTCTGATCTGATCGTAGGTGCAAGTGACTGCCGACCGCTAACAACTTACGGTACTGTGATGCAGGTCACGCGCCACGGTAGGGTTAAAGGTGAACGTTTTTTTTTTCATTTTTTCCTTCCTTTTTTTTTTTTAATATATTTTTGGAACATGAGACTGATAGAGTGCGCAGGCTGCAGTGTACACTAACACCAAATATAGAAGAACATTAACACACAAACACATTCGAATAAACTAAACTCCTTGCGGTTGATTTGGCACTACCATAATCCACAATCTACCAGTCAACCATGATCGACTGGCTGGGCACTCCTGTTGTAACTTCTGTTGCATTAAATAAAGATGTACTGTGTGATTTCTTTTCTTCTCCTTTACCTGTTGTTTGGCCTTCTTTTGAGCAAGCAAGGAGGCCTTGCGCAGTTCATCCATTTCCCTGCGTATCTGAAAATTCTCTTGCTGCAGTTGGAGTCGCTCGTCACTGATTTTGACGCAGTCCTCTCTTGCTGCGGCCAAACAACCCTTCAGCCGCTGCACTTCTTCCTGACTACGGGACAATTCTTCATTATAGCTATAATGAGAAATATGGAACGATGGCGGAGAATAATTAGACAAAGTGTGGTATATAACTAGTTCAGGGGTGACCGGCATGGTGTCTGTTGGGGCCAAGTAGCCCCAAAAGAAACTCATGGGTAGCCAGGGCCTTTTCTTAAAAAAACAAACAAACAAACAAACAAACAAACAAACAAACAAACAAACCTTAAAATAACTTCATAAAATAAGATTATGATTATTTAATTTTTACTGAACTATTTGGTAAACTTGTTAGCATGTTCTTTATACTATAGTTATGTTCTCAGTTCGTTGTTTATGCGTCATGTAACATTAGCATATTATCGTACACTTATTCAGCCTGTTGTTCTCTATTGTTATTTTTATTTGCCTTTCAAGATGACATGTCTGTTCTCGGTGTTGGATTTTATCAAATTCATTTCTCCCAAAAATTCGACTTATATAAGTTTTTTTCTTCTTTTATTATGCATTTAATGGCTGGTGCGACTGAGAGTCAAGAGCGACTTATAGTCTAGGAAATACAGTCATGGTCATTTGAGCAAATGTGTTATTTCAGAAGCGTGTATCCAATTGGTAGCCTTTCACATTAATCAGAACCCAAGAAGTAGCGCTCGGCTTCAAAAAGAGTGGCGACCCCTGCACTACATGGTCAGAATGATTCTGGCTAAGTAACAGCCCTACAAATTACAGGAAAATTAGTAACAATTGGGAGGAAAGGCCTGAACTGTTCAATTATTCCACTTACCCCATTTCCATCTTTTTTAGTTTGCTTTGTGTACTTTGTAAAGTGATGCTTATTTCATCTTTCATCCTCTCTGCAGTGAGACACCTTTGGTGAAGGACATCAAATTTCCCAAGCTCTGGTTCTGCCCGACCCTCCTTAACCACCTAGTCACAAAAAGCAACAACAAAAACATCATCATCAACCTCTTGGTTGTAGATGATGAGGATGGTGGTGATGGCTTATAAAGGCCACAAACATAATTAAACATCGTAAAAAAGGTGGGACTGACTTAAGCATCATTTCAGTGCAAATATATCGGGATGTAATGATAATGGTAATATCGGTATATTAAAATTGCGACGATACCGTCGTTGTCATGTTAGGTTATTAAAAGCGGCTCATCTATGTAAAAAAAACAAAACAAAACAAAAAAAAACACATTACAGTATTTGTTGCCCACTTCAGCCGAACACAGCCTTGTGAACTACAAAGTACATTGACCATTGTGTCACAGAGCCAATAGACATGACAATCAAATGACTGGCCTAGCCAATTTCTTTGTCATTGCTGTTATTATGTACAAAAACAATACTGAGCCCTTTTTTACATTCCTACAAATATACCTTTGCCAGTTCCTCCTCTAAAGCTTTTCTCTCTCGCTTAGACCTCTCATTCTGAGATTCTTTTTCTGCACACTCCTGCAAACAGGTGAGGAATGTAACAACAACAACAAACAGTTAGTAGGATAAACAAAGTAGTAAGGACTGAATGGGACTCAAAGGTGATTTGGAAACATATTTCTGTTTGTGGGGCGGACTTTTACCAGTTGCATTAAAGACAGCTCCTCGGCCATACGACGGAGTTCAACATTGCACTGCTTGCGTATATTATCCACCTGTTTAACATAAATGTGTCATGCAGCTCCAAAACAGCATATACTGTACAATGGCAATTCATGGTCACACAGTAAGTCATATTGTAGACAATTTATCACAGTTTGTGATTTAATTCTCTGACAAATGTTCTCATCTAAAGACAATTTTGAGTGGGCTTTACTATTTACAAAGTGTAGCTGTCCTATCAAATACAGGGCAGAAACTTCAGATGAAACACAATGAAACTAGACAGAAGAAAAACTTTCCTTCGCTGATTGAAATCTTATATACAGTAGTAACACTATGTTATACATTATATTACATTTCTACTATTACTATTTCTACTAAGAGTAAATTCCATAATTGTGACATCAGCCTATTCTTGCAACACAGTTGTTACCTGAGTTCTGAAAATACAAACAATCCTTTTGGTTTGATTTTGGTGTCAGTGAAATTGACCAAATCAATGCAATACCCTCCCAAATCTAATACTGTATCTTTTTTTTTCCCTTTGCAGAGCAGTTTTGCGAATCAGACTTCATATGAAGAGCAACTTTGTCCTTTTTTTTTTCCTTTAAAGTTGGATGGTAATATGCTTTTCAAATACACCAAACAGATAAAAGGCAAATTATTTAAAAGGCACACAGGCAAGAATGACATTATACGCCAGGCCAATTTAACCCCAGCTCATGCTAATGTTAGTGCATGTCCATTGGTAGCAGCAGGATTTAAATTAACCAAAAAATGAGCACTACCACACATTAAATGGCAATGCCACTCACCTCACATTGGAAAAGGCACATGAAAAACTATTTTCAAACACAAACACCTTCAAAAGGATGAAAATCTCTTCACAGCCCCACTCTTAAATTGCTGAACAACCAGCTCAACGCGTGGGTCATTCTCTGTTTCTCTTTCCCCACACGCTCGACCACAACATCTTGAGAGCTCACTCTCCAGTCACACAAAATGTTATCAGGATTAACAAATTCGACAGTTTGAAACAAACATTTTTTGAACATATTGAGAATCGATCTACATTTATCTGCTGAGGCACAGCAGAGAAAAAGAGGTTTTCTGAATGAGGGTACAAAGAGTACATCATAGAAATGTCAGCAGAGATAATCCCGCTGCAGTTTTGCTTCAGTGACCATTCAGAAATACCCTCACCTCTTTTCTGGTGCGGACAGCAGCATCGTCAATCAGCTGTGCAATAACCTTCTTTGTCTTCTCAAGCTCCTCCATCATCTGCTTCTCTCTTAAGAGAGCCTAAGGACAAAAAGCACATAGCTTTGATGTGAAGACTGTTCCAAATTCATCAAGGCAAAGCAAGTTTATTTGTAGAGCACATTTTATGTACAAGACAATTCAAAGTTCTTTACGTAAAACATGAAAAGCATTTTAGAAAAAGAAAAAAATGTTAAGACGTTGCAAAAATAAACGAAAGTCATTATATTTAAATGATTATAATGTTAATAAAAAAATTGCATGAAAATGGGGATTAAAACAAGATAATAAAGTGTAGTGTCATGAGAATGCTGCGGTCAACAATGTTTTCAGCCCTGATTTAAATGAACTGACGGTTTGAGCAGAACTCAGGTATTCAGGGAGTTTGGCTCACAGGTGAGGAACAAAGTAACTAAATGCTGCTTCAGTTTGTTTGGTTCTGGGAACACAAAAGAGACCTATCACAGACGACTTGAGGAGTCTGGGTGATTGGCAGAGTACTACACATTAACATGTATTTTGGTCCGAGACCATTGAAAGATTTATCGACCAACAGCAAGAATTTACTTTATTAATGGTTTTCACTGTCTCAACAAATAAAGGTACGTCTTTGTCCTTCTCCGTGCCTTCTCTTCTTCCGTTCGACTCAAGAGGCGTTCATGACCGCCTCGGAAAAACGTAAATTAACGATTACTTCAATGAAACAACGAACATTGAAAATAATGCATCAAAACAGAAAATCAAGCGAGGAAATCACAAAATAAATTTTATAGCCTCCTACAGAATTAATTTTGGCATTTCTTTGAGCGTAGCTCCAACAGAACAATCAGATGTCAGTAAAATGTAGGAGACTGGACTGTCTCAGAAGTGTTTTGTTATTTATTCCTTTGTTGTGTGCTGTATTCACAAACGAGGAAATCACAAAATAAATTCTGTAGAGGGGCTATATAATTTATTTTGTGATTTCCTCGCTTGATTTTCTGTTTTGATGCATTATTTTCAATTTTCGTAGTTTCATTGAAGGAATCGTTAATTTACATTTTTCGGAGGCGGTCATGAATGCCTCTCGAGTCAAACGGAAGAAGAGAAGGCACGGAGGACAAAGATGTACCTTTATTTGTTGAGACTGTGAAAACCATTAATAAAGTGTGCGTTTTAAAAAACAACACTACAGCTCTACTTTTTTCGGAGCTGCAACAAAAACTGAATAAAGCAGCAATACAGTTCACTGAACCAACCGCAAGTTACGACATTGTAAGCATGTCTCCAGCAAGGACCCATCTTGGGGTCGACATATTACCGTAATGACCATACACAAGGCGCACCGGACTTTAAGGCGCGCTGTGAGCTTTTAAGAAAATGGAAGACTTTCCGGTGCGCCTTATAGTGCGGAAAATACGGTAGTGATTTCTGGACAGGTTTGGATCAGCTCCAGCTGCCTATTTTTTTTTTTTTCAATTGGATACCATTACAGTAATCTAGCCTACTGAAAATAAAAGCATGAACGCATTTTTCTGTCTTGTTCAGACAGAAAATCCATCATTTGAGCTACTTTTTCGAGGGGTAGTAGGCAGAATTCGAAACAGCTTTTAAGTGTTTCTTAAAATTTGAGTCCAAGTCAATAATCAAGATGTCTGGCTTAATTAGTTCAGTGACATAGTGTTAATGTGACCGCTGAACCTGGACTTTCCCTTTTTGGGGTAACAACTGGATCAAGCCTGCTACCCATTTACTTCTGGTGAAGTAAATGGGTAATGTAGATTTCTCGTGGCTTCCAACTAAAGGTGCTGTGTGTGATGATTTAACACAGGAAGATATAAAAACCATGAAATAAAAAATTGGAGTTCTATACTTTTGTCTGACATTCATCTTTCCATCAGAGACCCAAATGTCTTCATTATTCAATAAAAACAACGGAATTGAGCTTGCGATTTTTTTACTTTTGGAGGAGGGGACACCTGCAACATTCTTGGTCGTGATGAAAGAGCACAAATTACCTCATTCTTCTGCAGTACTGCCTCTTCAGCCATCTGCACACTCTCTCGAACTTTGTCCAGTGCATCATATTTCTCTTGCTCCAAGGTCGTACATCTGGCCTTCAGGTTCCCTGACATTTGCTCCCACATAGTTTGCTCTCCTCGAACATCATCTGCCGCTTGGGATGTCGTTTTGAGCCTCAGCAAATGAAACACACACGCACACGCACACACACACACACACACACACACACACACACACACACACACACACACACACACACGCAGGCATATAAAAAACTGATGGTGAACTGTACAAATAACCTCGACTATGCATGGATATACTTGTATAGCAGAGGTGCCCAAGTCTGGTCCTCGAGAGCCTGTTTTATGGCTCCTTTTCCAGCACACTTGAATCCTGAAATGATCAGGATTGTTCTCAAGCTTCTGCAAAGCTTGTTGATGAGCTTGCTGAGCAGGTGTGCTGGAGTAGGGAGACATCTAAAACAGACTGGACAGGGGCTCTTGAGGACCAGACTTTGGCGCCCCTCATATACTGCATATATTGTAGTACAGGGGTGACCATACTTATAAAATGACCAAGGTCAAATGATTATTTATGAATTCACTAAAAATATACTTTGGATTCTTTATATGTACAATATTGAGGGCAGTAGAAAAAGTATTTGCTCCCTTCCTTATTTCTGTTCTTTGCAATAGTTATCACACACAAATGTTTCAGTGCATCAAACCAAACTGAATATCACACAGACGCAATTCAAAATGCAGTTATTAAATGCTAATTTATTTTATTCAGAGACAAAACAAATCCAAATCTACCTGTCCCTATGTGAAAAAGTAATTGATTTCTGAAACTTTCACTGCAATAGTTGAAATCAAGCGTTTGCGCTAATTGGTGATGAGTCTTGCTCATCACTGTGGAGGAATTTTGGTCCACTCTTCTTTGCAATTTTGGATTTTAATTTTTTTGGTGCCTTAATAAATTAAATTGGCATTTACAAACTGTATATTTTATTTCCTTGGGTAGTCTCTGTGTGATACTAAAATTGGTTTCAGGAACTGAAACCTTTGAATGTGACAAATATGCAAAGAACACAGATATCAAGAGGGGGGAAATACTATTTCACAGCACTGTATATTGTTTTAACTTGCATAACTGAATGAACCTCTATTTATACATGAATACGTATATGATTGTATGTTAATCAGATGACAAATTTCACAACGGATCGGAGGGAGTCGAATTTAGTTTTTCTTAAATTCAGTGCTGTTGACAGGCAGCTATTTAAAAAAAAAAGTGTGAGGGCTCGCAGTGATTGAGTTGACGCTATGAGAGATACCAACACTCCCTTCGCGAGCTACCAGTCCAATAGCTCACGATCTACGTAATGAGCACCCCAGCTGTAGTAGAAATTCTCAAGCAATAAAGTGAGTTCATGAAACGAGACATTTCAAGTGAAGCTACAGTTCTTTTGTACTCACCTGGTCTCTTTCTGACAGATGGTTGCCTGAAGCTGTTGAATTCGTCTCTCTGCTGCTTCCTCTCGGCTGTGAGACTCGACGAGATCTTCCTCCTGGATGCATACAGTATGTGCACGGTTTATTACAACAGGCTCACTTATCTAGAGACCTTCTTCCGCTTATCCGGGTTATGTCGCAAGGCAACAGTTTCAGCAGTTTCCTCCCCCTGGTAACTTTGCCAACTCTTATTGGAAGTCGTATGACTGGCGAATGTATCACTGTTGTATTAATATCTAGATATGAACATTTAAGGTTCATATTGACAATGAAAATTATATCAGTCAACTGTGGACTTTCCACACTCGCGCTGCATGTACAGCTCAGTCCTACCAACCGCATACCTTCTTTCAAGTTTGGTGTTGATAGACATCTAAAGCCAGCCAACGACCAAAATATGATGATGGAGGGAGAGACACACTCACGTTTGTGGGTATGTGTTTCTCTCTCTCCTGCAGCACACACACATGAAAACCATTTTCAAATTTTAAGCGAGCGAGACTCAGCCATGCGCGGCCAAGCCGCAGAAATACAGTACAGAAAGTCCACATATACCCCTTTCCCACTGCTGCAAAATCACGGGTAAAGATAAGATAACCTTTATTCGTCCCACACTGGGGAAATTTGCAGTCTACAGCAGCAAGATTGGGGGGGGATAAAGTGCTTCATTGCACAAAAATGTTTCAGAAAAAAACTGTACACAGTATAAATATAAGTTGCATATATGCATCTTATTCATACATAAGGTGGCTGTGCTATTTACAATGGTTACAGGTTTTCACGCATGTTTATTCAGCAGCCTGACAGCAGTCGGGAGGAACGAGCGGCAGTGTCTCTCCTTGCAGCACGGGTGTAACAGTCTTTGGCTGAAGGAGCTACCCAGTGCTGTCAGGGGGGGCTGGG